ATGCATGTACTGAATATAATCCAAACAGTACAAAACAGTGTGTAATGAAATAAAGTCTCCCTTCCATCCCTCTTCTCTGTATTTCCTTTCTCTTGGGGCCACCACTAAACATTTTCTTATGTGTGCTTCAAGAAATTTTCCATGCATGTAGGAACAGAGATATGTGTAGGTGTATCTTTGCTCCAAAACCCTGTTAGAACCTTCCCATGCATATGCAGTGTTCTGCCTGTGCTTGTTTTAACCTAATCATGTAACTTACAGAATATTTTATGTCAGCACATATAGACCTTTCTTATTTTTTGTGGCTGCATTGTATTTCATCGAGTCGATGAGCCGTGACTTACCATGGTATATCTACCTAGTTCTCATTGGTGGGCAAGACCCTCCACCAGCAAAAAGATTACGAGTCGTTTTATTAAGACACTTCATGCGGTTGTCTGGAATCAAACCTGCAACATCTCTGAGGTATGCCTCTAGTTAATGGGTATATTTAAAAAAATTTCTTCATCTAAGTAATTCTTGTCACCATTTGGTGGCATTTAAACTCCATATGTTTTATGGTGCCTTTGGACTTTAGATTTTATGAATTCTTTTCTTGAATGTTGGCTTATTTAGTGATTGGCTTGTGACTTTACTAAGGTAAAGGCTATCTTACAACCCCATCTGTTTTTGAAAATCCTGGTTCAAAGATTAGGTCCGTTTCAAAACCTGAAATGAAGGACACATATTATAGAGTCTTGGAATTTCCTGATTCAGTGCAATTAAATGAATTAACTTGCTTTCAGAATAGTCACATATTGCAATTCCTTCATGAGAGCAGAAGGCCTTTCCCTGACAAAAGTAAAAGCAGACTTTGTTTGTGCCAAGTGTGTGGAGCTAAGTGTCATCGTCACAGCCCATGAGGCCATCCTGAGTCCTCTTGCAGAGCTATGACACAAGCTTGCTTCAAACACCAGCCGTGAAAACAGCTGCACCCCACATGGGGAGCCGGGAGTGTCCGTTTTCATTGTTTTAGGATGATGACGAAATGCATTCACTATACAAACTAACACCTTAGAAGAAGTCTAGAAATACTTTGAACTGGAGCTTTAAAGCAAATCTTCCTGTCTGACTCCCTCCCCCCAGCCCTACTGGTCTGTCTTTTATGTGTTGTCTGTGGTGGTGAGAGTGGGTGGAACAAGAAAAATGGTGGAATTTGAAATATAGATGATTTTAATGCATTTGCAGGTCTTTATCAATTTATATTTGTCCAGCCCTGGCTGGTTTGGCTCCGCGGTTAGAGCATCGGCCTGCGGTCCTGAGAGACCCGGGTTCGGTTCCCGCTAGGGGCGTGTGCCTTGGTTGCAGTTTGTCCCCGGCCCTGGTCGGTTGTGCGGGTGGCAGCCACTCGATGTGTTCCTTTCACGTCGATGTTTCTCTCTCTCTCTCTGTTCCTCTCTCTCCCTCCCACTCTACCTGAACAAAAAATGGAAAAATGTCCTCGGGTGAGGATAAAAAAAAAAAAAAAAAATTTATACTTGTCCAGTAAGTTTGGCTGCTTCTTAGCTATGACCCTTAGAGCTCATTGAAATATATCTCTGAAGTCCTAGTTAAGTACAGTTATAATAACCTGTAAGATTATTACAGGTTATAATAGGAAATAACATGAAAAAACTCTCTTTTGACTATATTATATACATTAATTGTTCTACAGGTATATATTCAAATAAGGGGTTTAACCAAGGTATCACATACCTTTATGGTTTACCAGTATCTCCAGGCCCTTTTTCTTCAAAACCCTAATTATATCTGTAGAGTGTTACTTTTTCCTCTCTAAAATAATCTATTTTCTTCTTCTTCCTCTTCATTTAGTTTCTGGTAACTTCTTCAAGTCATAATATAACTTTCTATTGTAATCTTACTTTGTAAGGGTTATGTTCTCTTCTTAGTAAGATGATGTCCTCAACTCTAACCAAGGTGTCGGTGTGTCCACTGTGTAGGTTAATGATGAGGTTAATGCTGGGGTCGGGGTCAACATCTAGGCAATGCTGCTTATGGTTTCTTGACAAATTGCAAATTAGTTTTGGACAATATTTCTTTTGAGAAAATTTTTCTTGTGATTATGTACCTTCACAATATTTTGCTTAAAGCTCAGAAAAATATTGTGTCAGCCTATCTTGTTGCGTGGTGAAGGTTCTCCACGGCCCACAGCCCTTAGAGGTGATCTTGTGTCCCATGGAATTTGTACATTCCAGAAAAATGTAAAGATCTCAAGTATTGTTTGTTAGTGATAAGACTTTGGAGGCAAACTCTTTGGAGTATTTTTCAGGGGAGGATGTTTCATTGGGACAGGTGGAGAGAAATAGGTGACAATAGGTGGAGCAGGTGTTGAAAGATGTCTGGAATAACAAAAGGGCCTTTTGGGAAGAGGAGCTTGGAGAGACCAATAGGTATATGTTCTGGGTAGAGGGCAGGCAGGTGGCAAGAGAGAAAAAGAAAGAGAACTAGAGTGAGATAAAGTAAGGGATCCTAGGTCCATATAGTATTATAAGTACTTTCTACTTTCTTGGGCTATTAAATGACACGAGCAGATTACTAGTCAGATCTGAGCAAAGCATGGTCAAATGAATTATTCTGAATGTTTTTCTGCTTTTAGAAATATTTAGGAAGTTAGAAAGAGAGGTTAAAATACAGGTACATACTGGTGTAGGTGGGCAGGAGGGCAGTGGGCATGAAGCTTGGGCATGAGGAAAGGTATCTCACTCAGCTTTATCATTCCTCTGTATGGTGCCTATAAGACACCATGTTTACAGTCATATCAGATTGCTCCATATCAGGGATTCTTTGCATGTTCTGGGGTTTGGGAAATATTTTTCTTAAAGAGATTCTGTTCTAGTATTTTTTTTCCCCCAAGTATAGCAGTTAACTCAAGTAATTCCCTTTGATATCATCACACCTGTAAAAATATCTGTCCAAATGCTTTGGCTTTATAGAAGGGAATATTATGATACTGAACTGGAGAAAAAAGTTAGAGTTTAAGTCAGAAAATTCAGGTTTTGGTTTGTTCTCTTAAATAGTAGCTATTGCCTCTTAGCTGTGAAAACTTAACTGTCAAATGTGCACTTTGAAACGTGTGTGAGCTCCTATAGTGTCCCCTTTTCACTGTGGTTGGTTTTCCACTTGGATGGGAGAGGTAAGGCATGGTCCTTCCTAGAGCTTATAACGTACAGGTAGGAGGAATAAGAGTTTGAAAATAAAACTTAATATCATTTCAGCTTCTTCCTGAAACAGATGTACTTTCTTTATTTTTTAAATTATTTTTCAATGGCATTTTGCATTCAATATTATTTTATATTAGTTTCTGGTATACTACACTTTACAGAGTGTTCTCCAACCCTTGCCCCGATATTTCCAGTACCCACCTGGCACCATACTTAGTTATTCCAATATTACTGAAGCAGATGCACTTTCAATAGAGACTTCCAGGTCAATTCAGTAGCGGTGCAATTTCCATAAATAAACAGAGTCTACATATTGGTCTATTCACATCAACCTTTGTCTGAGATTCTGTCCCCTATGAAGTGTCGCTAATGTTCCAAAGGAGGTGTCCCCAGGGAAAATAAACCGGCACATAACCTGTACCTATAAAGATAAATACAAGGAGATTTGGAAGGCTTGTTAGGGTCTCCTGGTGTCTTTGAGCTAGATAAAGTGCAGGAAAGTATGGCTTTGGAAAAATGATTGAATTCTGGCTAGAGATGAAAATGCTGCCGTTGAAAACTTTCCAGAACAACATGTACTTGGATCCGTATTAAAGAAAAATTTTTTGAGTGTTTAAGCCAAATGACCCAGCAGGGTTGATAGTGTGAGGCATATTTCACAGTTGTATAAATATTTAAAACTGTTTTCCAGCCTATAAAACAAGTAAATTAGGTTGTTTTTAAAACTGCATAATGAAATTAACCTGCCTACCTAGACTTGTTGGGGAACCTGCCCGTCATCCCAGCCTTCTCTCCTAAAAGGGTACCACTGAGAAAACAAGTTTGATGAAGGCTTCCAACTTGGGGGGAAAAGCTGGTTTACTGGGGTTTCAGAGAATTTCAAAGGGGTGATTAGCATCACGATATACTACCATAGGTGGTCTGTTTCCAGGTGGCCTGTCTGCCTAAATTGTCAGTAGGGGTCCAGCCAACTAGATACAATAGCTTTTCATGAAAACTCCTTTCGACTGGCTGAAGGATAGACTCAGCGCTCCAGGATGCACAGCAGCCCCAGAGAAAGCAGTGCAGCTCTTACAGTGCCGGCTCATCTCTGAGCTGTTGGACCGCCATCAGGATGCCACCAAGTCCGCCCTTAGCCACAGGGCTGTGGATGATTTGTAGGTGGTCTTTCTCGTTTGGTATTAGGAGGCTTCTTGTCCTTTACAAAAGGCCTTCTTGTCCTTTGCATTTATGCTTACCTGCATTTCAGCTGTTGCTGTGGTCCATTCTCCCTTGCCTCCGAGACCACTGTAATTAAAGAGACGGGGAAAGACTACCCATACTTTTCTCTGATTAGACTTCTGTCTCCTCATTCACTTCTTGCCTTCAGTTAAACGAACTTCTGAAACAATAGCAGTGATGTTTTAACATTTATTAATAACAGAGTTTGAAAAGAATGTCAGTGACTGAATTTATCCTCCCTCCAACCCCTCCTTAACTTAGTGTTCTGGCCAAGGAAATGCAAGCAATAGGTTCTATATAAAGCTGGCACCATGGGGTGGTAGAAAGAGCACCCAATCATCTTGAGTTTAGCCCCAGGAATACCACTAACTCTCTGGGAATCCTTGGGCAAATCAGTTGACTTCTCTGGCCCTTAGTCCCCTATCACTCAGGTAAAAGATTTTGTCATGTAAGGTCCTTTGAACTGAGCACTCTAGAAAAGCCTTGTCTGCTTCTTTTGTCATATGATGATCCACTGTGAATACTTTCCCTGGATTCTTTTCTGTTCCTGAAAAAAACTAATTTTGTTTTTGTTCATAGACTGCAGAATGAAAAATGGATGAATGTCAAAGTGGGAGACATCATTAAACTGGAAAATAACCAATTTGTTGCTGTGAGTATTTAGCATTATTTGAATAATGTATCTCAGATGAAAATAGCATATCACTGCAGTATTTATATTTGCAAATTTAGTAAATCTATACTAATCCAGAGTAATTAAAGAGGGAATGCCAAGATGTATTTGTAAAAAGTCTCAATTATAAAATTGGATAGGTCAGTTGGTTAGAGCTTTGTCCTGACATGCCAAGGTTGTGGGTTTGATTCTCCATCAGGGCACATACAAGAATCAACTAACAAATGCATAAATAAGTGGAACAAATCGATGTCTCTTTCTCTCCTAGCAATACAAAAAATTAAAAGACATATTGATTGCCCTGGCCGGTTTGGCTCAGCGGTTAGAGTGTCGGCCTGCGGTCCCGAGAGACCCGGGTTCGATTCCCGCTAAGGGCATGTACCTCGGTTGCAGTTTGTCCCCGGCCCTGGTTGGTCGTGCGGGTGGCAGCCACTCGATGTGTCCCTTTCACATCGATATTTCTCTCTCTCTCTCTCTTCCTCTCTCTCCCTCCCACTCTATCTGAACAAAAAATGGAAAAATGTCCTCAGGAGAGGATTAAAAAAACAAACAAACAAACAAACAAAAAGACATATTGATTAATTACTTTAATGACATGGTAACTCAGATAAGGCTGTGTGATTATCACCTTCTCTATCTCCTTTGGGATCACTTGCATTAATAGAAACAAAATATTTAAAATCATTGGATGTAAATAAGAGCTTTTAAAATGCTATAGCATACTTAAAAACAGTTTGTCCTCCCATAATTTGAATACTATCCCTCTATAATGAAATTAATAATGTTAATTTGCAGTATACTTGAAAAAAAAAATAGACTAGAAGAAGAGAAAATGTATGCTCTCTCTGAATGACCACAATCAGAAAATTCCTATTATTGTTTTGAATTATTAAAATCCTGGTTATGAGGGGTTTGCTTTATATATCAAATGAAAGGGCTAGAAAGATGAATTTGACCTCAGCTGCAGTCCTGGCAAGGACAGGTTGTGGCTCTCTCTGGACCCATCAGGCTGTCTCGTCTAGTCTTTTTCAGCACCTTCCTCGGCCATCCTTCCAGAGAGGCCAATTTGTGTTCTAATTGCCCTTTGTTTTAAGTTTTATAGCTGCAAGTCAGAGTTACTCGTTTCACTGTAATTTCTAAAAATAAACGCTCCTTTACAAAAATATGTGACACAGTAGGAAAGTTGGCAATTTTTAGAGAAAGATTTTTTTTGAAACATTGATCTGAGCTGTACTGAAGAAGAATCTTTTTGCTTAAGGGTAGATGTTCAACATACTATTTTCTACATGAAAAAACCTAAATGGCCAATGTTCTGTTTATAAACAATTACTAATTTGTGGGGGTGAAATATATGGTCAAAGATTTTTTTTTTTAAAGAAGAAAGGGCTTATCCATGAGTAAATGCTATGATGGTCATTATTATTCGCCCCCTTTTCTCCTCTTCTTTTAGCCATCTTTTCATTTGTCTTCTCAAATCAATTTAAATATAAAAGACAAAAAATAATGATAGATCTAGTACATATTATTTTATAACATGCATTTGTTGGATGTGAAATTTAAGTTTCAAATAAAAATATTACCTATAATTTTACATTTTCATGACTTTATTTTGATTTTTGTCCATATTAACATATTTTCCCCTAAGTGTACTCATACTGCATGATGACTATTCTAGACTTTTATTTATTTTTGGACTACAAAAAAAGAAAAAAGAAAAAATAATATTATAGATGATAAAGAAGACAAAGAATTCCATGTGTGGAATGGCTTAAGAACATAAAAGGAGACCCAAGTACGGTATTCCAATGAGTTCTACAAACTTGTTTTTCCTCTAGGTTGTAGGGCCACCATACCAATATTTTCACCTTTGTAATTTTGGTTTTTGAACATCAACAAAGCAAAACGAAGTAGAGCAAAATGCTTTATTTTCTAAATTATTACTCCAGTGATTTTATAGTCAACCAGAGGAAAGAATATACATTTTGGGCTCAGAGTTCTGAAATCTAGTCCCAGGTCTGCCACATATATAAATGAGATCATATAATATTTGTCTTTTTTAGTAAAATTTTAGTTTTTAAATTGCTGAATAATATTCCATTGTATATATACACACAAATATATATATATTTCATATTTTCTTTATCCATTTATCTACTGATAAACCAGTAGTTCTACTTCTGCGCATTTATCTAAAGAAAATAAAAACATTAAATCTAAAAGATATATGTACCCCTATGTCCAGTGTGGCATTATTTACAATAGCCAACATGTGGAACCAAAATCCCTTATTTTAATATAAAATTTGAAACGACGTAAAACAAACAACTTCTCAATCTAGAAAGGTACCAGAATTTAAAAACTGAATTGTGGTAAATTATTTCCAAAGCTCAAATGGATAACCACATAGAATGATTTATCTCTGTCAGAAACCAACTACTCAGTCTCTGAATGTTTCCCACTGTCTTTGACCACATTTGTAGTCCATCTTGCCCTCTTGCCTCGTTCCTGCTTTCTTTCTCTTTCCTCTTCCTGACATCTAACCATCCTTTTTTTTTAAAAATTTTGTTTTTCTTGAAACTTTTTTTTAAATCTCCTTCTCTCTCTTATTTTTTCTGTTGTTTTCAACTTCCTCCTTCTACTTTACTTCTGTCTTTCCCCATCTTCTTTGCCTGCCCCCTGTTCTTCACCGATACTACAAAGAAATTAAAGTATGTACATATACATATTTCAATGTATCTAATTTATCACTCCTATCAAGTAGTGAGCCATATGGCCTCTGAAACTGCTGAGCTTGAGTAATGATTAAAGATAGAAACCAGAATTTTATATATTTCTTGCAAAAAAGTAAATGAAGTGCTTATTTCTCTTTGTACCCCCTGCCCTTGCTTATGTTCTAATGGTCAAGGGTATGCACAACAGGAACAGGTAAGTAGAGGGAGGGTTTGCTTCAGGGCACAGAACAGAGAGGTGGGATAGGCTTTCACCTCACTCACTTTTTCTAGGCTCACCTGGCTCATTAATGGAGGGATGATACAGCATAGAAGGCTTTCAACCAATCTTCCCTTCTCAAGTGTTCTTTATCCTTATTTTTGAAAATAGGCTGATCTGCTTCTCCTATCAAGTAGTGAGCCGTATGGCCTCTGTTATATTGAAACTGCTGAGCTTGATGGGTAAGTTATTAAAGTTAGAATAATTAATTAGATCGGTTTTTAATTTATTTAAGAGTAATAGCTTTAGGAACAGGACTTAAGTTAAATCTTAATCCTTATTCTTCATTTTATTTTTGCGGAAGAAATAGGAGTCTAAATTGCAAAGCCCATTTGCTAATTACTTTGTAGATTTTTTGAAAACTCTATCTTTTCTCTTGAATTTATTTTCTTTCAGAAACAGTGAACCAAACATGTATATAAACAATATCACACAGGGACTCTTCACTGAGATTCCTCAGGAAGGTTCTTTTTGGAGTTGATTGGCTTGTTTTTAATTTCATGTGATTCTCCAAGGAAAATAAGAGGAGTAGTAATCAAGATCTGAGGAAAGAAAGACCAATGTTACTGTAGAAGGCAACTGGACTTTTGGAACTGGACTAAATGAAGACAGGGAAAGAAAAAAAAAGAAATGTAGCATGATGTAGCTTTGACACTGATGTTAATTTAGAACTTAGTTATAGACCATAGAGTAGTTCTGTTTCAGTCGATTCGAGTTGTCTGTCTGGCATAAGAACATTTATTGAATGCTTACATTTTAAAGATACCATATGTTCTATAGGTGGATCTTATTTAATCCTGAAGTAAGTACTATATATAAGCCTCATTGTATAAAGAAGAAACCAAGTCTTAGAGAGACTAAGTAATTTGTCCCAAACTTCAGAATCTGGCAGCCTGACAAAAGAGCCCATGGTTTTAATGATTGCCTCTCAAATCGAGAGAAAAAAGTTATAGCAATAAACATATAATTGAAAAGAGAAAAAAAACCTCAAATCACTCCCATCTCAAGAACATAGAAAATAGCAAAATAAATCCAAAGCTAGCAGAAGGAAGGAGGTGAAAACAAGAGCAGAAATCAATGAACTTGAAAACAGGAAACTAAGGAAGACAATGAAACAAAAAAGCTGGTTCTTTGAAAACATTATAAAATTGAAAAACCTTTAGCAAGACTGAAAAAGAAAAAAGAGAAGACACAAATTAATAATATCATGAATGGACCAGGAGATATTACATCAGATCCTGTAGACATCAGAAGTATAAGAAAATACTACAAACAACTCTATACACATAAATTTAACAGCATAGTTGAAATGGACTACTTTGTTAAAAAACAATCATAACTCATCCAATATGAAATAGATAATTGGAATAGCTTTATAGTCATTAAGGAAATTGAATTAAAATGTAAAACATAGAAAACTATAAAACTTTTAAAGAAATACAGGAGAAAAATATCTAAGATCTAGGACTAGTCAGAGTTCTTAGGCTTGACACAAAACTCGTGATACATAAAAAATGAAAATTAGATAAACTGGACTTCATCAAATTAAAAACTTTTGCTGTGCAATCAACCCAGTTAAGAGGATAAAAAAATAAACTATACACTAGGAGAAAATATTTGCAAACCATCTATCTGACAAAGAACTTGTATCTTGAATATGTAAAAAATGCTCAAAAGTCGATGGTAAAAAATTCCAAACAATTTAATTAGAAAATTGGCAAATTGTATGAAGAAACATTTCACCAAAGATGACATACAGATGTCAAATAAGCACATGAAAAAATATTCAACATCATTTGCCATTAAGGAAATTAAAATTAAAACCACAATAAGATATCACCACATACGTATCAGAATGGCTCAAATAAAAACATAGTGACAACTCCAAATGCTGGCAAGGATTTAGAGAAACAGGATCACTCACACATTGCTGATGGGAATGTAAAATGCTACAATCACTCTGGAAAACAGTTTGGCAGTTTCTTAAAAAACTAAACATGCAACTGCCATACAACCCAGCAATTTCACTTCTGGGCATTTATCCCAGATAAAGGAAGACTTATGATTACATGAAAACTTGCACACAGATGTTTATGGAAGCTTTATTTTGTTTAGAAACAACCTTATGCCCTTCAACATGTGAATGGTTGAACAAACTATGGTATATCCATATCACGAAATACCACTGAGCAATAAAAAGGAATGAACTATTAATATATACCACAACCTGAATGAATCTTCTGAAAATTATGTTGAGTGAAAAATGCAACTCCCTAAAGGTCACACACACTGTATTATTCTACTTCTATAACATTCTTGAAATGGCAAAATTACAGAAATGGACAACAGACTGGTGGTGGCTGGGAGTTAAAGATGGATGGGTGGAGACAGGGAAGTGGGTGTGGCTATGAAGGGCAACCTGAGAAATCCCTGTGGTGATGGAAATACTCTGTATTTTGACTGTGTCATTGTCAATATCCTGGTTGTGATATTGTGATATAGTTTTGCAAGATTTTACCATTAGGGGAAACCGAGTAAAGGGCACACAAGATCTTTCAGTGTTGTTTCATGTGCTGAAAATTATTTGGCAGTTTATCAAGATACTGAGGCCCATTAGGGAAGAGTATGGCATGGCAATGAAGGTATTAATCTGGAGTCTTAGAAAATATGTTATTATCATAAGGCATATGCACGACTACCTTTAGTTTCTACATCTGAAGGTGGAAGTGAGATACTGGAGAGCAGCTTGAGGAAGTAACTTAAAATGATGAAATACTTAGATGAATGACATGATGTATTGAGTAGGGTAATGGAATGAAGACCGCCTGGCCTAGTTGGTGTGACTGACTGCTTTTAGTATTTGAAAAGTTGTTTAAATGAGTGGACACGTTAGTCCTTTAGTTTCAGCACCACTATCTCACTTTTGTCCATTAAGCCCAGCTCAATTTCTGCCTCAGTTATGAAGTTCTTTACTATCTCAAGCCCTACTCATGTCTGCCTCCTAGGAATTAATAGATTTTAATCCATGAGATTACTTTTAAACAAAGTAACTTCAATTGTACATCCGACTTTCCTGCAGAAAGCTATTTTACCAATGAGCATTCCTTGAATTGGGTTCATATTGTCTTAACATCATTGTGAAAATCATTTTTGGGAAGTTTAGATTAAATGCCTTCTCAGAACATAATGAACAAAATAAGCTGTCAACAAAAAGAGATTCAGAATCATGGAAGTAGGGAACAGACTGACAAACCTCAGAGGGATGGGGATGGGAGGGGTGGAAGGGGTGGAAAGAGATAAATCAAAGCACTTATATGCATATATGCAAAACCAATCAACATGGACATTAGGCTGGGGAAGGCAGAAGGGGGATGGGAGCAGGAAGTAGGGAGTCAATGGGGAAAAATGGGGACATCTGTAATACTTTCAACAATAGAATAAATAAATAAATATCCTCTTAGGTATCTGCTTCTTGGTTCTCTAAATTCTATTATTTCATGGTTTGACATGTACTTCCAAAAGGTGATATCTGCCTTTTTACCTACCACTTGTTTTCTTCAAGAGGACAATAATAACCCTCATGGGGCAGCATTGAATCTCTTGTATTCCATCAGTATTTGTTGACCGAATGAACCTACTACTAAACATTTTCATAAAAGATAGAACTCTGAAAATAAGCTACAGGAGAAAAGAATTCGCTTGAACTCAGTGAGAAAACTGGCACGGCAAGCTCTTAAACACACAGTGTGAGTGATGGTCGGAGAATCTTCACTGCTGGTCATTTCATGGACACCAGAGAGCAGCCATCCAACGTATGTGTGGTCCTGCCTGGAAGAAGATCACCAGCTCACTGCGCCTTGCTGAGTCCCTGTTCGGTTGTTGGATTTTAGACTTACAGGATTCTTGGCTTGATTTTCCAAAAAGAAAAAAAAAAAAAAAAGAAAGCTGTATACCTTTTTCCATTTAAATTTCAGATACGGTGGAATTAGTCATGACCATTTTTTGCAAGTAAAGCTCCTATGTAGATAATAGACGCAGGGGTGATACTGGCCTCCTTTATTTGGCAGTTGTGTTTTGTAACTCATGCATGACATCTGAGTGGGTTCGAATGAAACCATATTTATTATGTCCTCTGTTGTTTCAAATAGCAGAACAGATTACTGTGTTGTTATACAGATGGGCCGTGGTTGGAAGGCCAATTCTTAGGAGCCTCCAAAGCCCTGTCCGCTTTCCTGAGACAGTGTCCAAGATGTGAATGACATCGACAGGGAGCTTCTTGAAACTCGTGTTGGATTTTGCATGTGCTGTACCCCCCAGTTGCTTTGTATATTAACACTGTTGGGCTGCTCCATGTAAAAATTTATGTCATGTCAATTAATTTCACAGGGAGACGAACCTTAAAGTTCGCCATGCACTACCAGTTACTTCAGAACTTGGAGAAGACATTAGGAGACTTGCAAAGTTTGATGGTGAGTATTTAAAATAGACAAACAAAATTTCAAAATCTAAAAGCTTTTGTAACAAAAAATAGTAACACACTAATTATCTGAAACCCAATTTATGGTTTGTTTGGTTTTTATTTGGTGAAAGGACATAAAATTCTCCAGGCATCAGAGCCTGCAATCTCTACTCACGCTAAAAAGTAAAAATGTTTACCAAGGGAGAATGACTTTATCAGTTCATCATTCACTTCACCCTTGTTTCCTCTTCTCTAGATTGTGTTCCCTCGAGTCCCTCACTACCCTTACTTGCCTTACCTTTGCCTCCCTGGTGCCCTGTGTAGATTTGCTGAGGATGAATACAGGCCACACTTTTATTTCTAATTCTAGGTCTATGACTGCATAACAAAGACCAAATGCTAGACTGAAAACTTGGTGAAGACAGTAATCTTACCTCATATATTTCTGTATCTTTCATAGTGCCTGGCATAATATCTTAAAGATAGTAGGTGTTTAGAAAGAATATTCTAATTTATTATTCAGTCGGTCAGTTGTTGCCCTTTATTTTATTTTATTTTTTTAAACTTATCTTTATTGTTGAATGTATTACAGATGTTCCTTCTTTTTCTCCTATTGACCCCCTCCTCCCCGATCCCGCCCCCCTCCTGCCTTTCCCCACATTGTTGTCTGTGTCCATTGGTTATGCATATATGCATTTAAGTTCTTTGGTTTATTTCTTCCCATCCTCATCCCCCCTTTCCTTTGAGGTTTGTCAGTCTAACAACCAATTTGTACTTTTTTTTTTATCCTTACCTGAGGACATTTATCTTCAGATAGAGTGGGAGGGAGAGAGGGAAGAGAGAGAGAGAGAGAGAGAGAGAGAGAGAGAGAGAGAGAAGTGAGAGAGACACATCGATTGGTTGCCACCCACACAGCCGGGGCTGGAGACAAACTGCAACCGAGGTACATGCCCTTAGCGGGAACCGAACCCAGGTCTCTCGGGACCGCAGGCGGATGCTCTAACCGCTGAGCCAAACCGGCCAGGGCCCAATTTGTACTTTTTAATCCCTTCACCTTTTTCACCCATTTCCCCAACACGTCTCTCATCTGGCAACCAACAAAATGTTCTCTGTATCTGTGAGAATGTTTCTGTCCTGCTTGCTCATTTTGTTTGTAGATTCAATTGTTGATAGATATGTATTTATTGCCATTTTGTTTGTTCATGTTTTTTATCTTTTTCTTCAAGAAGACCCTTCAACATTTCATATAATAATGGTTTGGTGGTGGTGAACTCCTTTAGCTTTTTCTTATCTGGGAAACTCTTTATATGGCCATCGATTCTACATGACAGCTTTGCAGGATAGAGTAATCTTGGTTGTAGGTTCTTGCTTTTCATCACGCTGAATATTTCTTGCCACTCCCTTCTGGCTTGCAAAGTTTCTTTAGAGAAATCAGCTGACAGTCTTATGGGAACTCCCTTGTAGATAACTAACTGCTTTTCTCTTGCTGCTTTTAAGATTCTCTCTTTGTCTTGAAACTTTTGCATTTTGATGATGATGTGTCTTGGTGTGGGCCTCTTGGGGTTCATCTTGTTTGGGACTCTCTGTGCTTCCTGGACTTGTATGTCTGTTTCCTTCACCAAGTTAGGAAAGTTTTCTGTCATTATTGTTTCAAACAGGTTTTCAATTTCTTGTTCTCTTTCTTCTCCTTTGGCACCCCCAAGATGCAAATGTTGGCACACTTGAAGTTGTCCCAGAGGCTCCTTACACTATCCTCATCTTTTTGGATTCTTTTTTCTTTTTGCTGTTCTGATTGGGTGTTTTCTGCTTCCTTATATTCCAAATTGATGATTTGCTTCTTGGCTTTACCTACTCTACTATTGAATCTGTGTAAATTATTCTTTATTTTAGTTAGTGCTTTCTTCATTTCTGACTGTGCATCCTTTATTTCTGACTGGTCCTTTTTTATGCTCTTGAGGTCCTCACTAAGTTTACTGAAGTTCTCACTAAGTTCATTGAACATCCTTATAAGCAGTGTTTTGAACTCTGTATCTGTTAGGTTGCTTATCTCCATTTCACTTAGTTCTTTTCCTGGAGTTTTGTTCTGTTCTTTCATTTGGGACCTGTTATTTTGTCTCCTCATTTTGGCTATCTCCCTGTGCTTGTTTTTATGTATTAGGTAGAGTTGCTATATCCCCTGAGCTTCCTAGGGTGGCCTGTTGTAGCAGGTGTCCTGTAGGGTCCAGTGGGACGGCCTCCCTGATCTCACAGCTGGGCCCTCGAGGTGCACCCCAAATGTGGACTTTACACTCTTCTGTTGTAATTGAGTCTTGATTGCTGTTGGCACGTCAATGAGAGGGTTTTACTCAGGCTGATCAGCTATAAGGATTGGCTGTAACCACTATCTATCGACCTCTGACTACCTTGGATGATCAGCTGTGCGGGGGTCCACCACACAAAGCAAGACTTATTTGAGCAAGACTCTGGTACCCACTGAGTCCATTCCTTGAATGTGTCACTTGTGGAGGTGGTTGGGTAGTGGTGCTTCACAGCGTTCTGAAGCTGTCCACCGAGTGTGCTGGCTCTGGGGCCAGGTTAGCCACTGCCTGTGTTCTACCCGAGACCACCAGGCATAAGCTACAAAGTGATCTGCAGATGGCTGCTTCTTGTGCTGGGTTTGGAGGTGCCCAGGAAAAGCCAAATTGTGAACCAAGGCTGGCTGCTTCTAGTGCCAGGCCTGAGGCCACTTAACAAGAGGTATGGGGCTAGCTGAGACCAGATGCTGATTGCATGAAAGAATTTAGGAAAACCTGAAGCAGGATCCAAGACAGGCCAATCCTATCATAAAGCAACTGGCAACAACTTGGGTGGACCTGAAAGTTGGGTGGGGCAGGGCTTCAGGGAATCACCAGGGTGGGGCAGACTGTGTGAGCCAGGTTGCTGGAGTCCCAGATATGGCGGCTGTCTGCCACCCCAGGGCAGGGCTCACCAAAGGAACAAAGGCCTCTGACAGCATGTCTGTCCAGGAGAAAGCTGCCTCTCCAGCCCTTGCCCCAATGCCAAACAACTTAGTTCTTCCCCATATATCTCTGGTGCCTTTCAAGCTGCCTCCCCCCGCGGGAGCCCAGAGGGTGTGAGTCCGAGTAAGTCTGTGTGCAGGCCCTTTAAGAGGAGCTGCCTGGGGCTTCAGAAGCCTCAGCCTCCCTCAGCCTCAGTTCCCACTGGTTTTTCCAGCAAGAAGTTATGGGGACTACTCTCCTGGCACTGGAACCCTGAGCAGGGTTCCTGGTGTGGGACGGGGACCCCTCACTCCTCAGGGAGGACCTTCCCAGCTGAGGTCTCTCCTGACTTTTATCCGCCACACATGGGTGTGGGACCAGCCCGTCTGCCTCCGCCCCTCCTACCAGTCTTGACATGGCTGCTGCTTTAATTCTGTAGTTGTAGGACTTCCATTCAGTTTGATTTCAGGCGGTTTTGAATGGTGGTGGTTCTGTGATTTAGTTGTATCTTTGATGTGGTTGTGGGAGGATGCCATACTGCAGTTACCTACCTGCCATCTTGACCGGAAGTCCATTGCCCTTTATTTTAGATTACGGTTTTGTTATCATCATCTTCACACCATTCAACCCAGTTCCCTGCTGCTCAGCCTGGACTCTCCCTGCCTTTTCTTTCCCAGCTATGTCTTGTTCTTTTCTGTTAAAGCTGTCAGAGAAAAACAAAATCCTTCAAGTCCAAGGAAAGAACCATTAATATAGTAGGACAGTAGGCACCATGACAGGCTGTGGAATCTGTGGGGCCTTCCTGCCAGTGGTCTCCTGCTTTTACACACTTGTAGGCCTGGCCTTGAACATCAGTATTTACATACAGATTGGTTTTATTTGTTAACGAATCTTTATGAGTTTGAGACTATCTTCCAAAATGTTTTCTTTCGAGTCCCCTAAAAGAAAATGTGGACAAAGGTCTTAGTATGATCCCATAAGTTAAAGCACAGGTAAATTTGCATTATAAAATTTTTCCAGTGCACAGCTTAGAGTTTATATTGCCTGTGCTTTGCATTGACTTGTAAACTCCATCTGGGTTCTGTTGATATTTTAATCTCTCTTAAAAGAATGCTGTTGTAGCAAATGTTTATAGAAAAAAAAATTCCTCCAGTTTGAGATTTAAGTCAGGGGAATAGCCAGGAAACTTTGAATGGCCCAAGAAATATTTTGATTAGATTAAAATAAATTACACATTTTCTACCAAGCAGTTTTTTTCAATGAAATTTTACTGTTATGTGAATCCAAAAAAAAGTAAATTGTGTTCATGAATTAAAATGCTTGCTTAAAATACCTCATAAAATATTTATGGAGTCCTAAAAGGGCAACCTAAATATAATTTACCATTAGGTACTCACTTATTTCCTGCTGGAATTGTACCTTTGTACCTCTGTCAATCTATGAGGAGGTAAAAATTCATGATTTTTAATTTTCTTTACCATCAAAAAGCAGCAAATGATTGTTACAATTACCCAGCTCACTTTGTTTTCACAGGTATTGGCACAGATAGCCTACACTGTGATTCAGTTACAGACAACCCTGAAATCTTAGTGGCATAAACAGTAACATTTTATTTCTTGCTCATGTCATGTTCTGATGCAGGTTGGGTGACCTTCTCTCTCTTGTAGCCATGGTGCCTACACTAATGACCTCTAAGGTCAGCATGGCAGAATATGGATGAGATAAAAGAGACAAACTACTTTTTCTCACATTCATTGGCCAACATGAGTCACATGGGCCTGACCTAACTGCAAGGGAGCCTGGGAAATAACAAGTGTAGATATTCATTGACTGCTAACTGTCTGTATCATGCCCTCAAAGGACTTAATCATAGATTGTATGTAAAAGGCCAGTCTGGATTAAGATCTCTTATGTGAAACCATAGAAATGGGGCCAAGAATCATCCTTCTTTTAAAAAATTTAAAAATTTTATTTATTGATTTTAGAGAGAGAGGGAGAAAGGGACACCGAGAGAGAAACATCCATTTGTTGT